TATTATATATGTCCCCTTCATAAACTTAGATGGACAACCTTGAATCATATTATAGGGATGAAGGAAGAAAAGGGATATAACTTATAAAATAGTATTGGTCTGAGTATCTATGCATAGCGAGAGGAAGAAGAAGACTAATAGTTTTAAGGAATAAGAAAAGGAGGAAGGAGAAATCGAGGAGCTAATCAAAGGAGAGATATAGTGAGGTATTTAAGGCATTGGAAAAACAATGAAAAGAATAGAACTAGAAGTAGAAGTAGCCTGGAATTCTGATGGAGAAGAGGATGTCAGATGTGGATTCAGTTAAGAGCTAACAGATGTTCCAAAAAAATGAAGGTCGATTCCCTAGATAGAATGGTTTTCTGGAAAAAGTAGACTAGAAAAAGAATTGATTGAAATAATAATATTGACATAATTTTCAATCAAATTGATCAAGCTTTTAAGAAGGAGAACGAGGCCATCTCTCTAGTATAATGGAATATTTTTCCCCGAAAGGATTGAAGGTCTTCGTTGAGAAATACGGATGCCATAACTACCTTAAACTTTTCAAGATAATGTCGGTACAATAATATAACCAAGAAAGACTCTCACTGATGATTGATATCAAAATAATTTGATGTAACATTAATTTCACTCATCTACCTAACAAGTTAAAGGACTAAGATAGTGAAGTTAATGGTTTGATGTTCTCAATTGACTACCTGTATTTGGCATCAGATGTTCATGTATTGTTTATAGAACGGAATGTCCAAAGTGTGATAGTAATCAGAATACGAAGATGGAAAGAGTCCTGAATTCTATTGGCTAAAGTTAAAAGACAATAATAGGGACCAGGTATGGGAAGGAATTATTAACACATATAATCAATTATAGATGGAGAATAGGTTGGTCTATTGAGAATTAGCATGGAGAATAATATGATCTATAACTTATGCATAGGTGAGCCTTTCAGAGATGACAATTTAAAAATATCGCTGAGATAATATATTCATGTGCAGAATTTTAAAACCTAATTCTATCGGTAGGCAAAATTTCAATAAAAATGGCAGTAAAACTGAGATTCTGGATCACATGCAATATTTACCTCATTTAAGATGAATCTCTTTCTTTCAACTGTTGGATTCCAATTAATCTAGTAAACTTTTCAGTCCTCAAAGGTTAAAATAAAAGAAATTGAGAAGGTGCAAAGTAGTTTGTACAAGATCGGTTGAAAATAATCAAATAATTAAACCTAACATTTGCACTATATTCATATCGTGATTTTCTTAAATAATTTCAGTCGATCATTGTTAAATAGTTAATGTCGATATTCTACGGTTAATTTGATACTGATGGAAAAGGGGTGTGCTGTATGCCATTTTTTCAATAATATGGGCACAAAACTTATATTTGAATCCTCCCTACTTGAAAGATACAAATATTCCTGCAGCCATTAAGTTCTAACTCGATTGCTACTTATCCTCCAATTGTAGCATAAGCCCCTCTGTAAAAGCAGAACTTAATAGGTAAATATAACTTTTTAATAATCAGATGATCAAACTAGTTCTATTTAATCAGGCTTTGTTGCCATAAAATTATAGCTGAAACAGCTTTTCAAAACTTTAATCTCTCGAATTAACCTAAAGCAAATGCGGAGCCGTCTTACTAAAAAATAACATTTCTACTAATACACATCAAAATTACCCCTTGGATATTTCTATATCTTTCATTCTATAGATATGCATTGTCATTAATTATCTTCTAACATTATCAACTTAGTTCCTTTTAGTTCTATAGAGTATGTGAAAATTTAAGAGAAATTGAAAATTATATAATTCTAGTTCTAATATTAACATTTAAGTTATTCTAAAAACAAATGCCTATTTGTTCATTTTGACTGAATGTTTGCTTCATTATCTAAATATCCATGACTGGAAATCCATTCTTAATTCTCAAATCTTGATTTTCAAATCACCTAGTTATAAATTTTGATACCTTAGAGGATAGATTTTACTTATCTCTTCCACAATAACTCATAACTCCAGTTTCTTTAAAGTAGATTGAAATAGTATATGTAGAATTTACTTATTTTTTTAAATCATTAGCTTAAATTTATTCATTATAAACTTAGATTGGCTTTTAACTAGCTCAAAAAAAAAGGAATTATAATATGAATTATCCATCATTCAAATAAGAATCATGAATTGATTCTCAAAGTCAGGTATAACAAATATTGTAATTTAATTAATTATTAAGGTATCTTAAAGATTGCAGGTCTTATTCTGAAATATCGCATCATCGATATTTTAACTTTATATATACAAATTTCGGAAATAATTATTGTTAATTGTGGGAAAAACTAAATGTGAAAAAAAATTTTATGAGAATTTACAAATATTCAAGCTTTAAATAATGGGGTTCAAAAGAATATTTTACATTTCCAATATTCAAGAGAAAAAGATGTTAGTTAGAAGGAAAATATGTACATTCCAAAAATAGAATTCAGAATCATAAGCTAGGTACATATGGATATTCGCCAAAAATACTCTAAAATGATGAGATCGAGAGGAAGAATCATAGTATTAAATTTCAATATCAAAATTTTTTTTCGAACTCTCTTTGTTGATTTTTAAAAATTAGAAATGATTACTTTGAAAATAAGTGTTTATTTAAAATATAATCAATAAATAAATATCAAGTATAAAGCCAAAATTATTAAAAGATGATTTTTGGGTTCGATTATTCTTTATACTATAAGAAAAATCAAAAAAAACAATAAAAGAATCGCAATTAATTTATTTAGGAAGTAGAGATGGATTAAACAAAGATTAATTTTGGAACAGATGCAATGCTAAGTGTAATTTACTTGTGATATTTTAGTCTCAAAGTGGATATATCTTTGGTGGATATTCTCCATGTTAATGGTAATAGAATCTTGGTAGTTATGTTTAAGATGATACATTATCATCATTTTTATTTTCACAAACACATGGATAAATCTATCCTTTGAGATAGGATAGGAAATATTCTATTTACTCTAGCAGTGGATATGGACCTACGTTTGGAAATGGTCATGATATATACATAGCAAGTGATTTTAAAGATGGTTATTCTAATTTAGGTTATGCATATCAATGGGATTAATATCAGAATTAAAAATCATCACATTTATTTGGACAGGATAAACCAAATATTACCGAATGTGAAATTTATGAGTTAAAATTAATTTGAAACTTAACCGGTTTTTAAAATATTTTATAAAAATATATTCGTAATGTAACACGATTATCAAATCAATTGCTATCTCCTCTTTTAAGCATCAATTCTTTACTTATAGAACGATTGATAAATAGTAAAACGGTACTAGATCGATTAATAAAAATATCTTCACCGATATTAACTATACAGAATCTTCTCAAGAATGTGAGATTAATAAAATAGCCAAGCTGATAAGAATAATGTATTAATTTAAATTTATAATTAAGTAAACAGCAACCAAATAGGAAAGCCATGAAATAGAGAGAATCAATTAATACCTTAAATTTAAACAACATTTATGTATTATATCAAAAATATTATACTCAACTTTTCAGGAATAAGCAATATTAGACTTACTTCTAATTAAAATAAATATAACTTAAAATTTTTTAAAAATTAATAAAAATGTCCAAATTTACAGAATCCAGATGTAGTGTGGCAATTAATAAAAAAATAAACGGCATAAATGCTAGCCCTAATATAAAGGATTTTTCAAATAATAAACTCATTAAAATTGGTTTAATCACAAATAGGATAAAACTAATTTAATCGTTTAGCTTATAAATTCCTAATTGACAACTAGAAAGCTTCTTTTATTAAATTTAGACTTAAGAATTTGATTCCAACTAGTTTGAAAATTACTTGTAATTAAAATAAAAATTAGTTTTAAATATATTTGAGAAATTGCAGCATGAACTCATAAATGCATAATTTTGTAAATTGAATTAAGTTTTCCATTAGTACTTTGGAACTATTTTTATAATACTGTATTCTTTTTGTAACTAATATTGGCCTCTATATATACTTTTTTGTGTTACTTCAAATTTTATTTCACCTCTTATTCATATTATAGCGGAGCCTTGCAATTACATAACTGTCTGTGTAAGATAACGTTTAGGCTGTGGAAAAATTCTGAATATTCTTTGACATTACATTTCAAAATAGAACCTAAATAAATAGAATAATCAAATTTTGACTTTGGAGATAATCTAGCAATAAAAATTATAAAGGAAGATATATTTGATTCATTTTTAAATCATAAAATGCCTAGACAAATTAACATTTCAAAATAAATATTTACCTAAAATATACACAACTAATTGATTTTTAGTTTAATCACAATAAATATGGTAGTACCCATATATTATTTAAAGTTCTTAAGTCATTATTGGTTCTTAACTGAAATCTTTGTAATTATTTGCCTAATTTTTTCAGCATAACAAAATCTTTTGAATTTTTATCGCAATACTCTGCTCTATGGTAATTGATAATTTTGATATATCATTAATTAGACCGTGAAATCAACTAAAATATTATCATCTTAATACTTGCAAGTTGAAATCGACAGAATTCTTATTTGTATAATTACATTAGCATTTCTCATCGCTCAACTTGACTTAAACAGTATCCGATCATCAACTTCCTATCCTCGTTATACAACTAACGCTATTATGCATTGGGTATAAACAAAATTCGTGGCAGGTTATATCTTTATTATAAAATAAAAAACTCTTACCCGAAAATAACTTAATTTTATAACTTTAATTATTTGCAAAAAGTTACTGCATCAGAATGCAGTAGATTTTTTGACTTCAGAATAACATACTTATAATATGAATTTAGAATAGTATGTTTGATGAATGATATTGTGTATTAAAAAAATCTGAATGATTAATTTTGCATAAATATCAATCAAGAATATTAGATAGCAAATGTAAAAAGTCTAGTGCAATCAGAAAGCTCATTCTATAATTTTATATCTCTAATATTAAATACATTATTTTCTATGAAAATATGAATAGTGATAATGATTTTCTAATGACTAATTGTTAAGATCAATTTTGAAGAAAAAAACCGATTACTAAAAACAATTAAGTAATTGAAGATGAGCTTATGAACTGAAATGTCAATAAGTGAGTTCTTTTTAATGATATAATTGTATAGGAGCAATAACTTGAGAAATAACTAAGGAAAGTATAAAATACCAATTTTATTTTGAATTACTTAATGTGTTCGAAGGAAAGACCAAAGACACATAAGCCAAACTAAATACTGTGCTTCTGAATTCTATTACAATACGTTATGACTAACTAAAGAGTAAAAGTGAATTTTAAGTCTAAATCATTCAACCTTTATACATAATATTTGTAAGTGTTATCTTCAATAAAACGAAGGTTGTTGGAGTTTGCTTAGCTGGATGGAGTTTGAAATTTATAGTTAAAAGAATTTAAATTCTATTTGTCTATTGGGTTACTTATTGAGTCACAATATGAATACATCCAAAATCTTCTTCCTAAAGAAGAACTGAGATCATATAATTGTCTAAGCTGACCAATAGATTAGTTTATAAAAATGCAGATTTTAAATTGATAATCGACGACTCCAAATTATTTTAGCATAAAAAGAGAAGCAGTAAGGTAGATAGGAGATGGAATTTTANTTTTATCGCAATACTCTGCTCTATGGTAATTGATAATTTTGATATATCATTAATTAGACCGTGAAATCAACTAAAATATTATCATCTTAATACTTGCAAGTTGAAATCGACAGAATTCTTATTTGTATAATTACATTAGCATTTCTCATCGCTCAACTTGACTTAAACAGTATCCGATCATCAACTTCCTATCCTCGTTATACAACTAACGCTATTATGCATTGGGTATAAACACAATTCGTGGCAGGTTATATCTTTATTATAAAATAAAAAACTCTTACCCGAAAATAACTTAATTTTATAACTTTAATTATTTGCAAAAAGTTACTGCATCAGAATGCAGTAGATTTTTTGACTTCAGAATAACATACTTATAATATGAATTTAGAATAGTATGTTTGATGAATGATATTGTGTATTAAAAAAATCTGAATGATTAATTTTGCATAAATATCAATCAAGAATATTAGATAGCAAATGTAAAAAGTCTAGTGCAATCAGAAAGCTCATTCTATAATTTTATATCTCTAATATTAAATACATTATTTTCTATGAAAATATGAATAGTGATAATGATTTTCTAATGACTAATTGTTAAGATCAATTTTGAAGAAAAAAACCGATTACTAAAAACAATTAAGTAATTGAAGATGAGCTTATGAACTGAAATGTCAATAAGTGAGTTCTTTTTAATGATATAATTGTATAGGAGCAATACCTTGAGAAATAACTAAGGAAAGTATAAAATACCAATTTTATTTTGAATTACTTAATGTGTTCGAAGGAAAGACCAAAGACACATAAGCCAAACTAAATACTGTGCTTCTGAATTCTATTACAATACGTTATGACTAACTAAAGAGTAAAAGTGAATTTTAAGTCTAAATCATTCAACCTTTATACATAATATTTGTAAGTGTTATCTTCAATAAAACGAAGGTTGTTGGAGTTTGCTTAGCTGGATGGAGTTTGAAATTTATAGTTAAAAGAATTTAAATTCTATTTGTCTATTGGGTTACTTATTGAGTCACAATATGAATACATCCAAAATCTTCTTCCTAAAGAAGAACTGAGATCATATAATTGTCTAAGCTGACCAATAGATTAGTTTATAAAAATGCAGATTTTAAATTGATAATCGATGACTCCAAATTATTTTAGCATAAAAAGAGAAGCAGTAAGGTAGATAGGAGATGGAATTTTAAGATTTTATTCAATCTATTCCAAAGTTGTAATTAGAATTTCTGTGATTCATTTTTATGAAGAATCTATAATGTAAAATTAGCCACAATTTGTAACCAGATATCAACGATTTCTGATTGATATGTTTAGTAATTGTTGAATAGACAGCTAAAGTAAATAATCAAATCTGAAAATTACAGTCATTATTTTGGTAGGTTCTACTTAAGTGATTATTAAAGGCCCCCATAACTGATTTTTAAGATTATTGAAATTAATAGGTCAAGCATTTAAAAAATATTGAATCAGTAGATTAGAAATAGCAAGTCTCTAAAATAATTTGCTTTGAAAAATTCAATAATTATTAAAGAAAATAAGAAATAGAACGGTTTAGATAAAATGTGGAAAAACTTGTTTACTGTAGCGGGAATACATTTAAACTCATTTGCTGCTTCGGCTGAGTAATTTATATTAAGTTATCTAAAACAATTCTAAATGAATCAACTTTTTTATATTTATGAAATCATCAATTCAATAATCTAAATTTAATCTTATTCTTGATTAGGAGCATTTTCAATATAAGGATTAAGCTCCATATCTGATGCAACTATCAATTATGATATTTTAATCTCCTTAACCTTTTGCTTTTTTGGTTTATTTCAACAATTAACAAGTGGCTCAATAATCGTCCTTACAAGTTTATCTCCAAATAGATATTAGATACATAAGAAATCCAAAATATTAAATATTAAATTATGTTATGATATCGAATATTTGATTAAGTAAAAAGACATACTGATTAATTATATAATTCTATCAAACATAATTATTTTTTTAAAAACATAAATATATGCTTAGCCCTTGTAAAAAAGTCAAATTAGAATTTTATTGCTATTTCATAGAAACATTCATTATTATAAATAAAAAATAAATGATAAATTAATATTTAGAATATTATGAATTTTTTTGACTTTTTTTGATTGAATCATATCAAATCATTTAACAAGTTTTGGAATCGCCTGTATTAATCTATTAAACTTCAGGGAAATACGAATATGATTTAACTGCATCTTCTATTATCTCTCATAGCTTTTATGTTATTCCTTTAAAATCTTTTCATGATTTCTTTCCAAATAGCTTAAA